ACAGGAATGAAATCTGAAAGACTAAGGCATTAAGAAATATGCTTATCATGAGAAATCTTTACTGAAAAATTAAATTTTTATTGAGTCAAACAATTGCTTTTACATTAGTACTTCGTTATTTCAGATAGGAATAGTTATACTTTTGCCATTTGCTACCACGTTATAGTTTCCTTGTCTGCAAGATTATATTTCATCGTTCCACTCCTGAAATAAAAACAAACAAAATGAAGACCCCACACTGTGACTTTTCTTCATAGACCTAAAAAAGACAGCTACAGAAGGCAAAGTTACAGCAGCCAAACTCCTCTCATAAAACTCATGTTACATTTGGTAAGCCTCAAGCTCATCTGGAATTTGAAATCAGTGGATTTTTGGTGGCAAAGTAAAGCAATATATGATTAGATATTCTGGGAGTTTTCTTCAGCTTGTTGGACCAAGAATTTCACACTACAATGTGTTCATAATTTGCTGGAACATACACACATATTTTTCACATTCTACCTGTCTTTGCGCATTATTTCTACAATGTCTTGTCTTGTCAAGTTATATACAGCTATTTGTCCTGTCTACCCAAGCCATATTGTGTGATCAAGCCTCTTTCTCCAATTTCTAATTTTTTTTTAAAACCCCTTTTCTTCCCCCCAATTTTTAGAACCTACTTCTGAAATCTCATTATCTACCTGCATTATTCATACAGCCTCACTGACCTGCTTTTATTATTTTCTTGCATTACCAAAACAAACAAAAAAAGCTATCAAAGATTTGCGGCTGATCCTGGAAGGACCAAAAAAGTTTCAGCCACAGAATTTTATTCTTCACTGAGAGAAAATGAGCCCTATCCAGTTTTAATGCAATAATAATGTTTTCTTGGAGTCACTCAGTTTTTCTAACTAAAAGCAGGAACAAAGGTGGAACAGTGATGTCCTCCAGAGGCTGCAAGGAGCCTTCCGTGGAGCCCAGGACAGCAAGCTCCTGAGCCCCCTGCTTGCATCTGGTAAGGCAGAAAATGAAGGCAGAAACTCCCAACTTCTGTCCTACCTGTATGGCAGTATGAAGGACCCTACCCTCTAAACAGCATTATTATTGTTATTATTATTGTTTATTTTATCTGACAGCATCTCCTCTTCTTGGAATGAAGAAAGGAGAACATGAAAAAGGCCACAAGTCTTGAGGAAATAAAAGATTAAGTACAAGACATTTTTTAAAAAAAGTATTCTTGCAATAAAAAGGCTGTAGTTTGGGATGGCTGCAGCAAGTGGGTGAGGTAGGCGCACTACTATGGCAGAGAGAGAAGGCATTTTACAGCACTTGCTGATGAGTAGCTGCTCAGTCCAGCAATATCAGGCCCTGTGCTTAATAGAGCTAAAATCTGCACAGTCTATGCCAAGATTAAATTAAATATTTTCCTGGAATCTACTGTCTCCTGCACCCATGTGAATTGGAAAATTTAAGCAGAAAGATTAGAAATGCACAGGATAAATACATGTTAGGAAGTTTATCAATACACATCCATATAATGTATGATATATAAAGTAACAATAATCAAGTGTAACACCTCAGATGAGCCATCAGGAACAATATCAACGACAAAGTGATTTCTGCGGTCATGGCAGTACAGATTTCCTACATGGTCACATGAATTTTTAACAAATTACACTAATTAGAACCTATTTCTGAGTGCTTCGTCTCACCTTAAAGTAAAAAAGAAGCAGCAGCAGAAAAGGTTGAGGCAGGTGCAATGGCTGGTGTTGAGCACAGAAAGCCTGCTGCCTAAGGAGAGATCAAAAAGACTTGGATCTTCAGCTTGGACAAGAGACAGCCAAGGAGAAGTATGAGGGATAAAATCATGAAGTTCTAAGGGGTGTAGAGGAAACAATCTGCCATCATATCTCAGAACTGCTTTTCCTATCGGAAAAAGTGGGGGACATATAGCAAGTGTCTTACGAGTTTTCAAGACAAAGCAGACCTTTTCCACAAAGCATATAATTAAATTGTGGGACTCTGTGCTGTGGGACTTTTTAGATGCCAAGACTATAAATGGGTTAAAAACAACAGTTAAAAGAATTAACAGAAATCCATGGGCAAGAATCAAACCCACAGATAGACACACCCTCCATCTCAAGAGATCTCCAACTGCAGATTGCTATAAATTAGGAGGTATATGAAAGCTCACCATGCATGTGGGCTGTTCATGTACTTTTTTACATGCACCCACTACAGCTCTTAGATTAGAGGGACCCAGTGGACCTTCCACCTGACTCAGGGTCAGCATAAAGCATAGTATGACTTTTTTAAAGTAAGTATCTTGCAAAACCATATAAAATCCATTTGTCCACCTAGGATTTCCTTAGTCACACTGCTCCTTCTTGTCCTTTGAGACAGGCAGAGGATTATCTAATATGTTGTAATTAAATCAGAAATGCACAGTTTCTGTTGTCAAGACATGAGTCACTTTTTCATGCACAGATCCGATTCCAGTGACGCAGTTGCAAAGGCATCTTTTCAAACTCTTTAACGTTGGATTGAATTTTTTTCTGAGCTAAGCTGTCAGCAAAAACTGCTGAGCAGTGAGTGGCAATCAATTCAGCCTTGTCTCTCAACAAGTTAAGAGTTTTGACATAGTGCTGTTCTCACACAGAGGCTTGCTTATGAAAATGACATTTAAAAGCTTTTTTTAAAAGCATACTTTTATAAAATCATCCACTTTTAGAAAGAAAATGTCTAAAGAAGTAGGCTGTTTGCCTCAGCACCTCTTGAAATTTCAGTAATATTGCCATGCATGCACTTGAGAAGATGCATTTCTTCAGTTTGACTTGACATTTTTCACTCCCTAATGTAGAAAGAGCCAGGACTTGCCAGGAAATATGTCTACTGGTATATGGCACACCATCTCAGTGAAGTATTAGCTGTTCAGCAACTGGTTGCTTATCCCTTGTGTTACTTGAACAACAAGGATTATGAACTAGTCAGCTACAGTATGAAATGGATAAATACGATACATTTCCCAGATCTTATAAAAGTTAAAACAGTGGGTAGAGAATAAAGGGTTTACATTATGCAGAAGAAAAAACTGGTATCAGTATGAAGCAAACATTTCCTAACAAAGAAGCCTATTAAACGGCTAAAAAGTCCCTTGTGGGAAGAAGTGGAGGCCTCATCACTTGACATATTTAAAAACAGACTAGACAAAGCATTCATCTCTACAGGGACAGAGGAAATGGATAAAATTACTTATTAGGCTTTTTTCTACCCATCTCTGATTTCTATGATTTAATACATTTTTTAAAATGCAAACCACATTACACAAGCAAAAGGCTGAAAAACAATAAAACAGTTTTTAATTGTAGTGTTGCCCAGCACAATGAAACTTGATTTAAAATTAAATTTATGCTAGCAATTCAGACTGCAAGATGACTTCTCTTTGTTTAAGGTCTAGCACTGAAAGCTTTGCTACTGGCACACATGCCTCTAAAAAGATGATTTAGCATCCCCAGACTGGGGATATGTTCTTTGTGCCAGAACTCTTTATAAACTGTGACGGTTCAACTTTTGACAAGGGTAGCTGATGCAAAAGGCAGAATGGTGCTTTAGAGAAAAGCAGTGGAATACGGGGTTTGTGCCTAAGGTCTGGCAGACTTATCAACTCCCTCAGGAATCTCCAGCACTAAATATTTACTGATGTCACTCAAAGCATGACATCTAATCTGCTATCATGAAAATAAAAATAGACTCTCAGAACAGTTTCTTTCTATCACTTTGAATATATTAAAATTATTTCAAAATTTGCAGGGTTTTTTCCCCACTTTTTTTTATTTTTTTAATCTTTGAAGGCACTGCTCTATTTAAAATAAAGTGCACTGTCTTGCTCTGTAGAAATATGAAGAAATATGGAAAAAACCAACCCTGACAAACCTAAGGATAGTCAAAATGACCCTGTTTAAGAGCGTAACACTGTGGACCTTTCACTCCACCCACCATCCACACAGGAAGATGAAATCATGATGTAGAACTCCTGAAGAAGAAATCACAATGCACAACTGAAGTGAACTGTCCCAGAGGTAACGCTGGGGTGGGTGTTGAATCATAGCGGTCCTCAGGCCTCCCACTATTTTTGAACCAGCCAAGACAAGGCAGGATGTAGCCACATGTTTTCCTTGCCTTGACGTCAAAACTATTTTACCAAAATGCTGCCATTTCCCCTCTGCACCCTGTTCACTCTTGCATCCCGGCTGCAATTTACCATCTTTTCAGTATTAGTCTTGTTGTGCTAGACTGGGCTGCAAACTCAGTGCAGTAGAAAATATTACTTCATTTCAAAATACTGTTTACCCACAGTTCAATGTAGTCTTGTCCCAGAAGAGGGGGCAGAAAAGTAAGGGGAACAGTGAATTTAATCTATCCCTAGAACCAGCTAGAATTAAGAAAAACAATGGTCCAGTACCTGAATGACAAGGACCTCCCTCAGAAATATCATCCACCTTCCTGTGAACCTCCTCCATTCCTTTTCCTCTGGTTGAAATGATGTGTGGTCATTTAGCTGGAAAGCTGTGTTTTCCTGTACTGTGCTTATCTGTTTGGCTGTGGCCTGCCAGACTTATCTGTACCTTCAGGTAATAAAGTCCATTTGGAACAGTGTCTATCTGTGGATATATTGTAAAAAGCTGGCAACTCTGAAGTTTGCAGATGGTGTTATCAGGACAAGCATTTGCCTATTTTAAACAACTTCCTCATGAGGGGAAGAGGAGGGGCAGATACTGGTCTCTTCTCTGTGGTGAATAGTGACAGAACCTGAGGAAATGGCCTGAAGCTGTGGCAGGGAAGGTTTAGGTTAGATGTTAGAAAAAGGTTTTTCACCCAGAGGGCCCTGAACAGGCTCCCCAGGGAAGTGGTCACAGCACCAAGCCTGACAGAGTTCAAGAAACATTTGGATGATACTCTCAGGCACATGCCATGACTCTTGGGGATGGTCCTGTGCAGGGACAGGAGTTGGACTTGTTGATCGTTGTGGGTCCTTTCCAACCCATCATATTCTGTGATTCTGTGAAGTGGTTTATATTAGCATGTAGAGTTTTGTGGGCATATAATTGATATAGTAGGACAAACTCCCAATGCAGCTAAATCAAATACATCAGCCCTTATTTTGGGAGTACGCCCAAATCTAAGGATGTCTTTAAATTAGAATAAAGTTCAATACTTTGCAATTTGGAAAGTAAAACCACTCAACTGTAATTTTAATTACCAAATGAATTTTAAACCCCAGAAGAGTCAGTTTGAAAAACAATAAACTGTTTGCAGCAGCTGTACCCCAAAATCCTTATTTAAAACACAGCCCCTTTGTCCAGGCATAGACCCATCTCTGCTTTGCACAGCTTCTCAGCCACAGCACAACACCAGTCCCACATCCTATTTAATTGTCCTTTAGGCTCTTGGGCTCAGGCCACACTGGCAGAGCGTCATCCCCCACTGAGTCTCGCTCAGAGGATGGTCCAGCTCAGAACATCCTTCCTATGTTGTGTCCAGCAGCTGCTACTGCATCATCCTGCCCCAGCCCTCAGGGGATATCACTATATCACACTGTAAATGAGCAGCTGGTGAGGATGCAGTCTGCATCCATAGGATAAGCAGGAATTAAAAAAAAAAATAAAAATCTCATTTGGACAAAATTAATCCTGTAGTAATGAATTTATAATACTTTTTACCCGGTTGAGTCATATGTCTGGTCATAGCAGGAATAAATCCCACTGAAAGGGAATTGCTTGGGTGTGCAGGCAGTATTTTACAACCACAGGAGTCATTACTTTCCAGGAAGAGAAAAATAGTCAGAGAAAGAGAAGGAAAAGCAGGCAGCCAAGTATGCCAGACTTGATTTTAGCCCCCTTTACATTGATTTCATCAGAGTAATTCCACTGCAGAGGACACAAGAGTTTTCAGTTCTAACTCTTAAGGATGGTAGAGAATAAAAATAAGAGAAGAGTAATATCTGAAGTTCCTCTAGTCTCACAGCAAATATCTTCTCCACAAATAATTGAGATTTACCTCCCAGCAATTCTTAATGGCCATACTGTAAGTCATATAGGTATTTTACGACACCAAAGCTGTAATAATGTGCTCTGGGTGAGCGGCAGAATAGCTATACAATCAATATGTTTTTGCACGCTTGCATTTTTGATTGGGTTAGTATTGCAGCACAGCCTAAAACAGCAGTATAAATTTAATGGGCTGGCAGTCTTAAAAGTAGGGAAGTATAATAACAGGTGTATTTATTTTTGCTGTGATATGTAACTGATACCACTGCATCAGCCTAATCTTGCTGAGATTAGGCTCTCTTTTAAAACAGAAAAGAAAATACCTGGTACTGGACCTAAGATAAACTTAGTCAGATGAAAATCAAAAGGAAAAGACAACAGGTAGCACTGTAGAACATGTTGTGCAAAGGTAATACATATATATCACACATTTGCAAAACCTACTTCCTCTATCAGTCAGCCCTTTATTAGAGACACTGTATTCAGACAAATTGAACAAATCCTAAAACATGTAAATCCCTAACACTACAAATACATCTTTTCCCAAAGTTATGAAGTACTATAAAACCACATAGGTTTCTTTTTTTCTTGCTTTTTGACATGATTGTTGTTGGATACTTAAAATTTATGAGTTCATAGATGAGTCCAACCTTGCAGTATACCAGAACTGGAGATGATACCTCTTCTAACTACATGTGCTTTACCACAGACGTTAAAAACAATTACTTAGGAATAGTTATTTCTAGGAATTCTGAAAATATTTTAGTTATAATTATTGTCATTACAGAAAAGTCTGAAACATTTCCTTTAATCATTCAATACACAGCTCCATAACCCCAAACACTTGAAAACTATAACTTTGCTATGTTTTCTTCTTACATATGTGTCTATATGTACATACACACACATATATACGCACTATTAGAAACTGAGTGTCAAGAAAAGCAGAACCTTTACATTTCCTTATTTTTCTCTATGTTTGCAATAGGAATATAACTGTAGATACCACTTTTGCCATCTACAAAAATTGGACCAGCTTAATTTCAGATCCTCTTGACAGACACAACAACCACTTAGGCTCTGCTTTTCCCACTGTCATTTTTCATTCTTACCAAAGTCTGTTAGCTCTAAGAGTATATTTTTGGGTCATACATTCAGTTTTCATGCAACAAACCCATCTCCCTTTTACACTGCCCCGAAATGACTAAATCTTGTGCCTAAAACCAGGCTTGCACTGCTCAACTCCGTTTCAGCTTTTACTCTGCTGTGCACAGGAAAACCAGTTTGCAGTTGTGGCATTGACTAGACCTAGTTATACACATAAACATTAAATATTACTTATTTTTGTGCTCTTCCAGTAGTTCAAAAAGTAGCCTAAACCATGCAACATATAAGCACGCCTTACAGGGCCTGGGTCTATTTGCGGAATGATAAATTATCAGTAATTCCTCTGAGCCCCACTAATCAAGGCATTCTAATTGCCACATCTAGAATGCCATCAACTGACAATGGTGACAGAGGGAGTTCAGAATATTAAACATTTTGAAGAACTATGCCTTAAACAGAAACCTTCCTGAAGTCATAGTATCTCCTCAAATTGCTCATTCTGTGAACTCAGAAAGAGAAAAAAAATGAACAAAAAAACCAGTTAATCATTTCAGAACTTTTTTCCAATTTGTATTAGTGATTAAAGATCCATTTCCTAATGGTTGGGAATAAAAGTCTATCTTGAGAGCTGAAGTCACATAAGTCAAATTCTCCAGCATAACTACCACAGAGTACATGTGCATGAGGTTGTTCATTTGTTAGGAGGACTAGTGGCTTGGAAATGTGGGGTGGTGGTGGAAATGCTGGAAGGGAGGGTAAGCACAACAGAACATATCTAGAGAAGTCTGCAGAGCTCTGAACTCTCAAAGGGAAGCCCTAAGGTGTATGTACACTGAAATAAGTGCACCTGGAGAACAGCAAATATGTGGCTGGGTCCCTGGGAGTACTCACTAGCAGGAATATTTCACAGTGAGCTGCAACTGTGTGATAAGAAAAATAGGCTTCCTTTTGGGGAAAGTGTTCTGGAGACATGTTTTTAGATGGTAAAAAAAGATTCCTCATTTTGCAGAATATGGCGAGATCATAACCATTGGCCTCCTACATGTATTTTTGCTGTAACGAGAACTTAAAAAAGCAATGGTAGCTTGTCTTATTCTTCATTTAATATTAACTAACAAAGTGATTTAATTTGTTTTAAGCAACAATGGATGATAAACAACAGATATTCCAAAGCATGAGATGCTTTGGGTGAAGACATGCAGTACTTGGACCTGGAAGGTGCCTGTTACATTAATTTCTTTTAGGTGGATCCTGCAGCCTGGACTGACTTGATGAAGCCAATAGAAAGCAAAGGGCTACTCATTTGAACAGTGGCAGCAGTAGGCGGCACCAAGTTTGGCAATTTTGCTTTATCCCTTTCTAAAACTTGGCCTTTGAAAATCAACATGTAAATTTTATTTCCAATTTTTAGCTCAAAAAAAAGCTCTGGGTAGGGGGAATCAAATTCAGTAGGGGAAAAAAAAGGACCATATAACTAGGGCTACTGCTTCCATTTAGTGGGATGGACAACAATAAGAATAAATAAGAATACAAAGACAAGATAAATCAACTATGCTACACATCTGGTAATACATCTTATTTTACTATATTTGTTATCAAGATGACATGCAGTCTAGAACTTCATGGCAAACACACTGGCAAAAGCCATAAATCATGAGAATAACAAGGCTCGAAGGAACAAGGCTTACAAAGACAACCCCAAGGGTAACTTTCTTAGATACCAGTAAATAAATCCCTAAAGGCAAGGAACTAAAGTACAGCAAACCTAGCAACCACACTAGCACCCGAATTGAGGTCTGGAAGAGCAAGGATGTGCAGTTCCACACTGTCCAGTTGTGGGACACAGATGCAACAGAGTCAAAACTTGTAGGCCTGTAAAATTCCACCACGGGGGTTGAGTTCAGAGTCTGGGGACTTTCTCTTTGTACTTCCATGATTGTTATAACCAGGCAATTAGAAGAGGTGTGAGAAGGGCTAACTAGAGATGCCAGCCTTTTGGGAGTCAGCAACAGTTCCGTTGGGTTGTCTGGTAGGCACTTCTTTCCCTTTCCCCCGCAAGCTAAATTTAGAAGGATATTGTTGTCATCAGGAAGACTACTAACCTCATCATCTGGCAGGCATGTTTCAAACCTGCAAAATGGGCACACTATGACTCCTTGTGGGGAATCACCAAAGTCTATGATCTTGCAAAGGCATTTGGCACATACTCTGTGACAACACTCCAGTACTTTTGGTTTTCTCTGTCGCAAGTTATAGCGGTTGTAACATATCTTGCACTCAAGCTCATCTGAGCTCTGGGTCTCCAGGGACTCCTCTGGTAGCTGAGTGGTCATTTCTTCAGATGGTTTTTAGACTTGCAGAAAGAGAAGTCAAGGGATGAAGAGGTCAGTCAGTCTTGTCTTAGAACTTTTTCCTATCACACATCTCAAACAGGAAAAAAGGAGATGACATCATTGAAAAGCATCAGTAGGCATCATCCATTTTCAACTTCTGCTAGAGATTGTGCACTGCATGTCCTTTAATCCAAGCCAAGCACCCATCTGAAAAAAACAAAGTGGAATTTTTGGGGAAGGCAAAGGAAAAAGCAGGAAAGGAAAAGGTAAGGGGAAAGGAAAAGGAAAAGGGAGAAAGAGAGGGAGAAGGCGAGGGAGAGGGAGAGGCAAAGGGACAGTTTTAGCAGGTGAAATATACAAGTTTTACTTTTTACAAGATCAGCTTTCTTTGCTAAAAGTACCTCTAAGGTAGTTTTTTCCTGTGGCATATGGGGCCTATATAACAGTCATGCTGATAAAATGGCATCATGCTGCACAGATTTGTTTTAGACTTGTAGCTCTGACTGGCTCAGCCCATGAATTTCTCAGCAGAAGATGCAATCTGATCACTGACCTGTGACAGTTTGTTTAAATTCTGGTTTCCTAAGGAAATGAGACCCGACTCCTGGAGCTTTTGGTCTTTCCTGGTAACTTGTGAACCCGCTGACCAATTTCAAACAAATCAGCAGAGGGGCCACAGTACTGAAGATAATTAAGTTTCTGAAAGGAAATGAACACTGGCAATTGGGTAGAGGAGAGATATTTATGATAACTACCATTTTATCCTGGGGGGTAATGGCCAGCCAGCAAACCCCTCTCTCTGCTCTGAACGGGCAACATGCTGTCTGTTGCTCAGCCAGAGAGGAGTTAAACCCAGGGGGAAACCGGTGATATTCTGGGGAAATAAAGAGTTTGTGGGAGTGGAGTAGGTATGAAAGAGGGCTGGGGTTATTGCAAAGAATTATGTGGGGACCTAGGTAAAATTTGGAAAAGATCAGGCTTTATTAATTTTTCTGCTTGTGGAACAGCTCATTTTCTCCACCCAGCTGTGGGACACGTGATTACAAAAATGAGTGTTCTTTAGCTTGCAACAAATGTCTCCTTGGATATGTGGCTGCTAGGGTGAAAGCTAACGTGTCTCTCAAGGGCATTTGCCAGATGCACTGGTTTTCGAGTGTTTCATGACTGTGACAGCTGTTTCACACCTCAGCTGAGGAGAGGTCTGTGGTACACTTGCAGTGCTGCATGCCCACTCTGCACAGCAGTTTTGCTACCACACCCATCAGCTGCCCTTAAACAAATGTCATATTTCGTAATCATGCATTTTCATGACTTCAGGAAACAGTCCTTGTATTATATACACGAAATTAATCAGGAGTATATACTCTGGAGATCAAAAATCACCAGCATTTAAAAAAGCAGCTCTATCTGACAGAAGACAAAAACTTGCTCGAGATTCAGGCATATCACAGCATTGCATTTTACATGCTTTCAAACTCATGTCTTCAGTGCTAGAGTAGCAGGGAACTTGCCACAGTCAAATGATGGGGTCAGCACTTGTGTCTAGCTGCCTTTTGCATCATCAATAAATATCACACACACTGAATATGAAAAAGTTGCCTCTTTCAATAAACTTATTTCTTGACTATGCATTTCAGTAAATGTCTGATTCCTTTACCTTTTCCTTGGGAAGTTTTTACTCACTCCTAGCATTCAGATCTTTGTCCTTTTTTTTTTTTTTTGAGGTCAATGCAGGAAGCAATTCTTTTAAGCAGTGTGATCCTTCCATCAATACATTTTACCTGCCAACCATCAGGTACAGTAAAGTCTCTTTCATGGGCCTCTTCTTCTTACTGTCTTTAAGTATTTTCTGTTCTCTCTCTTAACTTTCTGTAAATCCATCAGAGGATGGAAAGACATAACAGAGAAGGATATATAACTTCTATAAGCAACATAATTTCTAAAACTCATTTCCTGGATTTTAAAACAAAGATGTAAACATCAGACAATCCAGTAACAAAAAACCCATGACAACATAGTGAACAAACCCCACATATTTCTGTAAGAATTGTTAAGAGACATGGCCCCCTCCCCATTCAATTATCTCAATATCCCTGCCTCTTCCAACTTATTTCTTTAGTGGCCTAAATGTTTTCATCTCTATCTGACTGTTGTTTTTATTATTTGTACTGTGACTACATTTGTGGTGTGTTCCATTAGGCAAGGCAAACACAAGACCAACCATCCACAGCATTCAAAGTGTACAAGCTAAACATCATCTAAGACACCAAAAGAACATCTTCTACAGAATTTATAACCTATCCTTTATCCTTTGTTACACTGTATGCTTCCCTGTTAATTTCTACTCCTCTTTTTATTTCATTCCAAATATCATCTTCTAGATGACTTTTAGGTAGATATAAATGTCATGAGATGCTAACTTTCCAAAGGATAAAGAAACCACAAAATGGACCAAAAAAAGTGAAATGCCAGCCTACAGGAAGGCAAAGCACTGCTGAAAAATTAAGAAGCTAAACAAAAAAGCAATCGTTTTTAACTTTTACCTCTTGAATATCATTTATCTTCTATACCTGAGGTGAATTAGGATTATTAACAAGCTAAGGCTGGCAAACATTGTCCTATGATATAAGACTAGATTCACGATAAACCAAAAATCTTCCAGAAAATGGGTCTGCTGCTTATCGAAAATTATGACCTTTCTCTGAAAACTCCCAACTTGAAAAATCTTTGCATTTTAGTGTTTATCTTTCTAATGAATATGACAAGCTTTTCACAAAAACCAGCCTGCTTTCCAACCAATTCTATTTGGACATGGATCACTTCCCTCTGAATCAGCTTTAAAACTGAATGTGTTTTCCTATATGGCTCCTATAAGTGCCAAAATTTAGCATTAAAACAAGGAGTAGCAAGTCCCTGGGACTAGCAGTGCCCCAGGTGCTAAACTGGGATTATTAGCTCCATGTCCAGAGCACAATGATCCTCCTATTGTAGTTTCTGTCATGAACTAGTCTACAAATTATTTTCAGACTTTTTTTCTTTAATGTTCTGTACCAGACGCTTCACAGAGTCTCTACAAAACATATCCATCAATAATAAAACATCATTGATTATTTTTTCTTTGGTTAACTTTAGATGTTGTATTTCTCCTTATGTGTCCTAGTGTGAACACTGCTTACTACTATGGGTTATTTAAACGTCTTTTCCTTTGAAAATTAAAATTCAATCACCAGTTCTTATTAATGCTCTTCATACATTTTTTACCTTCTCAGCTCTGTGGTGGTTTTAGATGCTTCTCTGAGTTTTTTGCTTTTCTGATTTCTTACAGAATTTTTTTATTTTTCCTTCTCAACACCCACTTTCCTGCTCTTTTTTTTTCTCTGCTGGGAACTGACACCTTTTTGAATTTAAATAATGCTGCCCTTCTGTTAAATACACCACATACCCTAAAAAGTTCTCTGATCAGAGACTTATTCAAAATATAAGGAAACTGAGGATTTTATAGAAATCTGACTTCAAATTATCCTTATTTCTTGAGGAAATGAAATGTTTCTTCAGAAATATGGCCAGCTGTGTCTTCAAGCAAATTCTACTCTATGTGAAAGATTTTCTAGCTTTTCTTTTGCATGCCTCCCAGGTGGGTATTCACTGGAAGCAGGCAGAATAAGAAATTAAAGAATGGAATAGCTTAACTGCTGTCCCTCTGAATCCTGTTCCCTCACCAAAAAGGTGACAATTCACATACTTCTCCTTGCTGTGTGTTGAAACCAATACTACACAGAAAAAAAAAGTGATTGTGTCTATATGTTCATGTTTTGTCCTCCTCTTCGGAACATGTTTTTTATGATGCCATGAAAAGGTATGTCCCTATTACATGCTCCAATACTCCACTAATATTTGGGCTATTTTAAATACTGGACTACAACTTGCATGTAGTTGCAACTTCTTTCTGACCTTGACATCCAGGGGGCAGTCAAGTAAAAAGTCCTGAGTGCAAGTCCTATGATAAGCCTAACCTCTTTCTCTTCAACTAAAAAATTGCTAGTGATTGGAGGTCAAAGTGAGGTCCCATGTCTATTTTGAAAACACTGAGTTTATTTTTATTAATTCTGTTGTTAGTTTAAACCACTCCTTATGTCCAGTTTTCCACCTGAACTTATTTTAGATAGACTTATCTCACCTGCCAACAGACACAGGTTGTAGCCAGGGAAACTTCAATTAGAGACTAGAAAAAAAAATATTTCACAAGGTGTTCAAACACTGGAACAGGTGTCAAGATAGGTAGAAATGAAATCTTCAACCTTACAGATATTGAAAACTTCAGTGGATACAACCCTGGTCAGGCCAGTCTACCTTGGAATTTTGCCCTGCTGTGAGCAAAGGAAACAGGATTTTTGCAGAGATTCCTTCTAACCCAAATTATTCTATGATTTACTGCTTTGGTATCCTGAAGTCACTCTATGTGATCTGTTTGAGAAGCTTACTGAGTAAGGAATCAGGCTGACATTTGTCTGTATAGCTAAACACTGCTCCTAGATACTAGTTCTTTCATTTAATATATGAATTCATTTTTACAAGCAAGCCTAGAGACCTTCTCATATTTTGTCTTCCACAGAACCTATCTAATGAGATCAACGCAATCCAATTGCAGAACTTCTCATTCCCGTGTCTAATATGTAGCACATAGCAGCTTTCTGAACAAAATATTAACTACTAGACACGTACAATGATGACAGCATCCACTGCAGTTAATTCAAGAACAAGCACATCTGTTACACTACGACAAGCACTTGTCTTTTGTAAGAGTCCTGACTAAGCACTGCAGGAGTGAATCCATCATTCCCATCGCTGCTTAAGCTCTGACTCCCTCTCTTCCCCTTCCCGTACCTTACAAACTTCTCTACCTGAACATTTTACTAAAAAGGTAAAAAAGCTGAAGCCAGAGAGGCATCTTCTGGATGGCAGAAGATCACCAGCAGTCCTCACAGTGCTCCAGTTGACTGCTGGAGGGCTGTCCCAGAAGCAGAGGGAATATCCTCCCTTGAGAGCAAGAGGAGGTGACCCACAGGACGAGACAGAATAAATAACAGCAAGCTCTTATGTGTGGTCCCAGGTATGGCCAGACAGAGTGCACAGGACTACATCAGCCCAAACAGGCCACTGGCCATTGATCAGTTTTCTACAAATTACTGCTCTGCAACTGCAGGCTTTCTTCCCAGGCATGGAAAGAAAGGTGAATGGGCTCTGCAACATGTTATGGCCCTTCTTTGCACTAATCTATCAAACACTGTGTAGACAAAGTGTTCATGAGAGACCAGAAGCAATTACTTGTAGATGAAACTCTCAATATTGGAGCTCAGTCATTCTGACAAGGCAAAGTAAATGGGAAATTTGTGCTTCTCCTCCCTAATGAGAGATCATCTTTGCCTAGTTCATCAGACCAACCTTTTATCATTCATTTCTTGCAGTACTTTTTTTTCAGGGAATTTGTCAATATTTCACATATAACCTAAAATGAATATATGAGGTCAGCAAGGAACTTCCATAAGATATCATCCATGGAGCCAACCAACATGCAGCATTTTCAAAGGTTTTAAAAGTTTCCTCTAAATGCAAACCAAGCATATTTAGGAAATATGAGAAGGGAAGTAGAGAGAAAAATAGATACAGAGAAACTTACTTTCCAAGAAAAACAACTTCTTCCTAAGGTTCACTTGAGAGCACACAAGAAAAGCCTATTCTTCTCCACATGGGCAAGAACTAGTGAAAAGGAGGGAAACAAAATTAGTAAAGCAGGAATACAGCTGGGAGATTTTTCAGTCTGTTTTCTCTGAAAGAGAGGAAGTAGTCCAACTTCTCTAGTTTGGATAGAAATACCCATATGTTAAGATTTTCATTTAGAGAAATATACTGGGTAAATCCCATTTACTAAAATTATTTCTGTAACATAATCCAGTTATCTTTATAGATCTGTTGTTGATTTTAAGCTTCTTTCAATATTATGCGCTAAACACTCTGAAGTGCTATCTCTTCTAGCAACCACATATTCACAAATGCTAGCAATTCACTAAAAAAAAAAACCCAAAGGCAAGGCAACCAAAGAGATAAACTGTGCTTTGAAAGAAGAGTTGTAAAAACATATCAAAATACTTTCCTTCACAAGTGTCATAGAAGATCTTTGATCACTTCTACTTTTCCAAACAAGCTGCAGTCTCTTCTCCAACACAGACCAGAAAAGGACCATATCCTGTAGGCCACTGCCTTCACATTTGAGCAGCTTTGCTGCATTCTGACTCAGCAGGAAATGACCATCGCACCAGATTTTTCCAGCTTGTGTTAAGCACAATGCAAAAAAACCCACCCCAAACTGCTTTACTAATCTGACATTTGAATAGACTACATTCAAAGTGCCAGCAGCTATCACATGTTCAACCTGTTTCATGCCACATTTCTGCTAACAGTGGATGGGTTTTAACAATGGGCATTTCCCTGTCAACTCCAATCAATGCGAGACTTTGCACCAGAGCTACAGAATGTGACATACTGATCCATGCTCAGTTTATGGTCAGCTGTATAAACTGCTATGAAAAATGCCTTCATTCTTTTCACAAAAACTTAGTTTTCAACGGCATAGGTAATGAGGTTGTTCCTCCAATAACTACGCGCGAAAGAGAAACTCTGCAACATATACAGCAAAAAGTTGTGTATTATTGACTGCTTCACAAGACATTAATACAAAACAGAAGCATTTTTATCAGAAGTTATTGTGACAATATTTAGAGTCCTTTCTTGATCTCTCTCAATCCTCTACAATAATGTCACAAAACTTCAAAATACAGAAAATTATAGTTTTTCATATTTGAAGTGGAATTCATGGGTCTCTATTCATTTAGTTCAGAAGTCATGTAATATTAATGTGTCATCTCATACTAAAAAAAAAAACCAAAACAGTCAATTTTTATTTTTTTTTTTTTTTTACTACTCCTCTCCCCTTCCTATTAAGTAAGTAGGGAGATTTTCATCTAACGCAGAGTTCACTTAATTCACAATAGTGACATTGGCTCTTAGGGTACTTTCTACATCCTTTGCATGTGCACATTCAATATCATCAGATCCCATTTCTTTTTAACAATATAATTTGCAATACTTTTTCATTATTCCACTAACTCACATTATGTGTCAGGTAGTAGTAGAAAATGGTATGAATAAACGTTGAGTGCCTTATTGAAATCCTACTATTCTCAATTACTTACTTTCTAGCTACGGGCTACTACAGCATTGATATGAATCTTAAAACTGACTATGGTGTAGAAAATAATGTTTTATTATTTAGGCTCGTAGGCAAAAGCAAACCCTCTTCCAACATTTCTTAAGAAGAAACTCTCCTTCATATAGAATTCATGAGCTATTTATATAGCAATATGCCGAATGACTTCTTAATGTGACATACGGTTGTGGGCTGCTTTGCAGCTGTTTTAAGAATAAAACTAATAAAGGACAAAGGATCTGAGCTCTTATGAGTTGTCTTGGTTTAAACTGGCTTAATTAGATTATGTTGATAATCTAAAGGAGGTGGCTCGAAATTTGTATCTAACACGGTAAGTTTTAATTTTGGAAAGACACTAGTTAAAGAGAATTAATTCCTTTAAAGTTATTTTTAATTGTTTCACAACCTGCTTGCTTGAGCTGTTTTAGCATTTTCTCTTGTATGGTTTTCTCACTGCCAGTGGCTTTTCCTTTATGACTCTGACACCAATAAATGATCTACTCCAGTAAAAATATATTTCACGATAGAAATCATGACCTTACTATTATTGCAGGGAAAGGTTAGACATTCTCCTTTTTGGTAGCAGGGGTGGGTTTTGGCAGTTTTATCAAATAAGATAGAGTTCTGTTACTCTGCTCTAGTGGTTTTGCCCTTTAGAAGCTCTTCTGAGAATTGAACAGACTGTAGGACATGGATTCTAGAATATGACTTGAAAAGATACAAAATTATAAATAAATAAAAAGCTTCCCAGTATTACTTAATACAGGCATAAATATTTAATTATATGACCTACAGATATGTCTAGCATTTTTCTTTATATTAGACATTATTAAAAGCCAATATGACTTTGTATTAGGTTTCAGAACACATGATGATAGCACTGTAGAATTTTACATCCTTGCTTTGCTAGCTACTGTATGCTTGGATGTAAGTAATTAAAATAAGTCCAGAAATGCAAGCAAATAACTTTTACTTCTTTAATAAAAATTACTTGTGCTGGAAGACATGAAGTGACATACTCAAAAGGTAAGATCCCCAAAATATGACAGAATTCCTTTCTTTGGACATATTTTCTATGTCATATAATTTGGGAGGGAGCAGGTGAGACAAAATTACAGAAAATTAAACTTGATTACATCATCCAGGGAGAAATTCCTCTTCACACATGGGAATCATTTTAATGCATTATAAGTAAGTTCCAATTAACCTTCAAAATAAGACTTAAATAGAAAGTAAGTGTGGCATTAGCTGTGTTCTAATGAAGCTGAAAACAATCCCAGAACAGACTAGAAATGAAGGTGTACTTCTTGCTTTTTCTATTGTCATTAAGAACAATCCATCTAATACAGGTATGTTTAACTCGGTTCATTCTGTTTCGGACATTTTTGAGGATATGAGTATATATAAAGATTTTACTATATTGCCTATTTTATCTCAATAGATTAGTGCAATCAGGAAATAAAAAGGGTAGGGCATTATACAGGGCAGTACTGCTACTGAATTTTATGTGTTCTTTACATATATTTGGTAACAAGGTTTTCTCATTTAACTACTGCTCAGATATTTGCATGTTATCCTGTGCAGAAAGGAAACGGTAAAAAAAAAACGGCAGTTACTTCAGTCACAGAATGTTTGAAAACTGAATGTCAAAATATTCCAAATCCAATACAGATTTCCACTTACAAACAACTTTTCCAGACCTGGTCTTCCAACATCATGTCCTTTCTGAAATGCTGGCAAGCAAAATCCAATCTAGATGATGTTGCAGAAAGTACTAATATCTTGAAAAGTAAGGGTCTGAAGAAACAACACTTTAACCTGGATGCAGTAAACTGTAATTTTAATATTTAATTTAGTTCACTTAAAGCACACATCTAAAAAATAGTTATTGCTGGGATAAAAATTATTTTTATTTTAGCAATATAGCAATAGTTGACATATAATCCCTCCTAACTTGACATTATTATATCTATTATTATAATAACATCATTATAATCACTAGAGTATCAATGATGTAACTAAGAAAAAATTTTCAAAAAATCTTATTGATGTATTTTAAAAAAAAGGTAAACTCAAAACCCTGAGATGCCATAAAAATACAATAGATCTTGCAGTAAAGTTGTATGTCTTCAATTGCCTTCATGGGAAATGAATGATTCCAATGGACAAGTGTCAATGAGGAGGCATTTACTTTGACAGTAACATATACTGCCCTCTTAAAAAGTATTTGTGAGAAAAAGTCCATTTGGCCTGATTTACACACCATATGCAATGAATAGTCACTGTATGCACACCCATCATTCTAGATGCAGGTACGTGAAATAAAATTGCATGCATTTAAAAAGTGGATGGAAGCAATTAAATTAATTTGTGTCAAATGATACACACAGCTTTTATTCTATTCCTTTAAGGAATACAGGATCATATCAAACAAGAGCAGCTTTAAGTATTACTCTGGAAGCATCTTTGTAGCTATTGGGGTTGATCCAGGACTGTCAGAGCTCCATAAATTGCTACATAACCAATCTCAGAATCGCCGGAGTGTTCTGCTGGTGAGACTTGCTTACTGAGATTAATGCTTATAAAGGACATAAACTTCAGAGAGATTGATATGAATTGTTCTGCTTTTAACATGTTATTTAGCAGTGCAATGTGGTACTTTTTAACCCATTCTGAACTCCCAGAGAGAGTTGAAGTGCTACTGGATGGAATACTTCAAGTAAAGGACAGAATCCTTATGGGCTGAGACTCTACATACAGCAATAATACAGAGACTACACTCTGTAAGCAGACACTTCGGTATGATTGCTTTCCCAAGAGAGATCCTCTCCATCGGTAGTCTCAATGTCTCCTTGAGAGTTAGTTTTGGAGAGTTAGCTTTGAAGGGTTAGCCCTCACCAGACCTCAGATTTTGGGTCACATTTTATTCAGCGGACAAAAGAAAAATCACCTCCACTTACTATGTGCATGTCATCCCTAAAGCACACAGGAATCTGTGAGGATGAGCTGAAATATGATATCCTCTGGGTATTTCTGAAGGCATCATGGTCACCAGGGTCACCCTGAGACCTGTGGGTAGTGCTACTTCTGTGAGCACGTTCAGGGCTGGAGTGCCCTTTGAATGGTATAAGAGGAGCAGAAAGATGCTGCAATTTATTCACAGCATGTATCAGAATCAGTTAAGAATGTTGTGTACCTCCCTCACATGTGTTTCTGATAGAAATATACTGCCACTTACTGCCGTGGCAGCAAATCCAATCAAGTCTAAATCGTATCAATATGAACCTGCAAAAAATCGGAAAATCTGCAGTTAGAAAATGTGTTTCAGCAAGTGCTGCATAATTCTATCTTGGGACAAGGACAACCTGGACTTTATAAATTTTCCACCATCCTAAAGAGTTACACTGACCAAGACTCACAAACTCAATGAAGGGTATGAAACTGTCTTTGCTTTGAGCAGAGCTACAGCATTTTGATGCCATTTGTAACTACA